TGCCGCACGTACACCACTGTGCGAGGCACGTCCACCAAATCCGACGGCGAAACGCAGCAACGCGCCGCTGCCGCCGCCCCCACCCTATCCGACCTTGGCGCCGCCTGCTGCGCCGCCTCGCCCGCGTGAGGCGCGGCCTGCACTGGCGCCTGCTTCTGCGCCGCCGCCGCAGCCACGGGCGCCGAGGGGGCCGAAGTGGGGCCCGTGGGGGCCCCATGCTGGCAGAGCGGCGGCGCGACCTGCCCGCCCTGCGGCGGGGCCGGCGCCTGCGCATGCGCATGCGACTGCGACGGCGTGGGGCTGGAAGCCGGGAGTGCGGGGGGCGGCGGAGGCGGGGGCGTGCCGTTGTGCGGCCACTGCCTGCAGGATGATCGGGCCGACCCTGCCAGGGGAGACGCGGCCGCGGCCGCAGGCGTTTGCGTCTTCTTGGCGGCTGCTTCAGCGGCGGCCGCGGTCGCCGGGCCGCCGCCCTGGCTGGTGGGCGCGGAGCCCTGGTCGGCCTGCGCCCTGGTGTCGGCTGCCGCTCCGCCCGCCGCTGCCCGCGCCGCTCCTGCGGCCGGCGCAACAGCCAGGCCCTTGCTGGCGCCCGATGCTGCAGGGGCCGCCCCGTCATCGCAGCTGCGCGCCCCACCCGCGGGCTGCGGGCCGCCTGCCGCATCATCGCGGCGCTGCCCATCCCCGTCCCCGCCCCCGCTGCAGCGACCGCCCTCGTCGTCGCTGCCGCAGCCGGGCGCGGGCCGCACGCGCCGGATGCCGCGGCCGCTCCTGCGCCTCCGGCTGCTCGGGTCCGCCTTGGTGGCTGCGGCCTGCGTCTGCTGCTGCTCCTGCTGCTGCGGGGACGCCTGACTCGGCGGCGTGGCCGGGGGCAGCTGCTCTTTGTCCGCGCCGCCCGCAACCGGCCGCTTTTGCGGCGGGGGCGAGGCCGCGCCGCCCCCATGGGACGGCACCCACGCCACAGTGACCGCGAGCGGGGCCTTGCCTTGGGCCGACGGAAGACCCTCCTCCTCATCATGCGGGGCGGAAACCTTGTCAGGCGCGACAAACAGAAGGGATGCGCCCTTGGACATGCCTCCTGCACCCACAGCCTGCCGCGGCTGCTGCTGCTGCTGCTGCTGCTGCTGCCGCTCCTCCTCCTGCTGCTGCTGCTGCTGCTGCGGCCCCTGCTTCTGCAACCGCTGCGAGGCCGGCAGCGGCTGTTGCGAAGCCTGACCCAGTGCGGCGCTGCTGCCCGCAACTGCAGCACCGTCCTGCCGCGGCTCAGCGTTGCCCACTGTGACAACGGTGATGCCCGATGTGGGTGGCGGGCCGGCTGCGCAGGCAGGCCGGCCTGCCTCCTGGCACCGCCCACGCTGCTGCTGCTGCTGCTGCTGCTGCTGCTGCTGCTCTTGCTGCTGCTGCTGCTGCTCTTGCTGCTGCTGCTGCTGCTCTTGCTGCTGCTGCAACGGCGGCTGTTGCTGCTGTTGCTGCTGTTGCTGCTTCCCTTGCTGCTGTTGCTGCTGCTGCCGCAGTTGCAGTGGCAGCAGAGGGGTACCTCGCTCACCCTGGCCATCACGCTCCGCCTGCAGCGCCCGGCCCCCCGCCGCCCCGCCCTCACCCCCTTGCTCCGGCTGCTGCTTGCAGCCGGCGAGCTGCTGCATTATCATCATCCCGCGCCGGCTGAACACGGCCCCGCGGCCCCCGCCTTGCACTGCAACTGTGGCCGGGGAGCCCCCCTGGTCGCCTCCCCCCGCATGCACGGCTGCCGTGGGCCCGGCTGCGGCGGCGGCGCCGGCAAGGCCGCGCAGTGTCATGGGCCGTGAGGGGCGCGGCCTGAGCCCCGAGGGCTGCGCCGCCTGCGGTGTGATCGGGGAGAGCTCCGAGAGCGCCAGCGGGGCCGCGGCCGGCCGCGGCACGGCCGGCGACCGCGCGTGCGGCGCGTGTGGGCTCGCGAGTGCTGCAGCCGCAGCATCCCTAAAAGCGGCGCCGCCGTCTGACGGCGAGGCGTCAATCGCCGCACGTGGGTGTTTGAAGCAGGCATCCCCTCTGCCGGCCAGAGCGGCGCCGCGGCCGCTCCCGTCCGCTGCCGTCGCCGCCGCCGCCGCGCCGCCAGCCTCCGGCGCGCCTGCGGCGGCCCCAGGCGCAGCCAGGCCGCAGCAGTCGGCCCCGCTGGGCTGCGGCGTGGCGGGGGCGTCGCGGGGCTGCTGCTGAGGGCCAGGCGCCAGCTCCGACCCCAGCCCCGGCCGCCATCTCGGAGGGTCCGGCGCGGGTGAAGGCTGCGCGCCCCAACCTGATCTGACAGCACGAGCCGTGCCCCCTCGGCCTACTGCCCCCGCCAGCTCCTGTACAGCGACGGCCTCGCCCGCCGGCGACCGCAGCGACACGCACCCAGAGCTGACGCCGACGCCGGCGCCGGGGCAGCTGCGCAGCAGCCCCTGCGGCGTGAAGGAGAACGAGGGCAGGCCACCCGCGCCAGCCGCCTCGTCGCCGCCTTCTTCGTCACTGGCGCTGTCGCTTGGCAGGGATTTGAAGCCCCAAGACTGCATCAGGCTGTTCAGGCACACGCCCGCCCCCCGCACGCCGCCATCGCTGCTGCCGCCGTCGCCAATGTTGACGATGCCGCCTTCCCCAAATACCGGACTGCCGGCCCGCGGCTGCAACACTCTGACAGGCGCGCGCGAGGAGCCTCGCGCCGGCTGCTCGGCAGGGGGGGCCGAGGCGGGCCGCCGAGTTGGCAGGCTGCAGCTGCGCCGCAGGCCTCGTCCCTCGGCTGCAGCGGCCGAGCCCGCTGCGCGGTCAAACCCCGCCGGCGGCTCCTCCCTGTGTGCTGCGGGGGCGGCCGCGGGCGTTGCCGCGGGCGTCGTGTCTCCCTGACCGGTGCAGGCTCCCTGCTGTGACCCATTTGCTGTGCCCGAGGCAGGGGCAGGGGCACGTTCAGGGCCCTTGCAGGCTTCATCGCTGCCGCCGCCGCCATCGCGGCCCATCAGCTCGCCTAGGATGCGGAATGGCACGCCGAGCTGCGCCACGCGCCGCACCCCGCGCTTCCGCGAGCTGCCCCGCCGTGGGCCCCGCCGCCCAGGCAGCCGCCGCGGCGACAACACGCCCGGCTCGGCGGCCGGTCGCAAACGCTGGGGCTCTGGCGGCTGCGGGAGGACCTGCGTGGATGGCGGCATGAGCGTGGATTGAGTGAGCTGGTGCTTTGCTTTGCAGGCTGCTGGATGCGAGAATTGCCTGTGTTCCCCGCAGCAGCATCAGCTTGTTTGGAGCAGAAGCAGCAAAATACAGCAGCAGCAGCAGCAGCAGCAGCAGCAGCAGCAGCGGCAGCAGCAACAGCAGCAACAGCAGCAACAGCAGCGGCAGCGGCAGCAGCCGCGGCAGCAGCAGCGGCGACACCGACGGAGTCAACGCCCCTGCGCCCAGTCACCTTCAGCGCGTCATGACTGCTCCAGGTGCTGCTGGGTGTGGCACTGATGCGGCACCGCCCCGGAGAAGGCTGCAGGGCATGAGGGGTGGCGTCACCGCCCTCTTCTGGCGCCTGGCTGGTGCTGGCGCGACGTGGCAGCGGGGGCGGGGAAGGCGCCCCGACTGGCTGGGCTGCAGCGGCGGGCCCCTCGTCAAAAGAAAGCACCCGCGGCGTCGCTTCGTCGTCGCCGTATGCATAGCGGCTGCCACAAGCGTGGAAGAGGCTGGGGCGAAGAGCCTGAGGGAAGACGGTGGGGGCAAGTGTGCCAGAATTCAAATACGGGCCCGCAACGCACTTGCGCTTGCAGGCACACCACCTCCGCTACTTCCGGCTCGTCTGGCGCCGGAGCAAGCGCGTGCACAGCGCAGCCTTGTTCTCACCTTTGGCGGCGACACAAAGCTTTCCTCTGGACCTGCCAGCTTACGTTTTTCGGCCATGCTGGCAACAACTGGCGCAACACACCACCTCAATACACCGGAACACCCCGGCACAGCAAATCTAAGTAGACTTCATTGAATGAACGACGAACGGTTCGGGCATCAACATGAATTGTCGTGTGGATCGATCTCGAGTTTTTGGCGCGAGCGAGTCGACTCGTGCGAATTGCTGACAGCAAACCAACTTTAAATCACACAGAGCGCAAGAGACGACCAGAGCGATCCATTTCAATGACTGCTGTACGCATGCAAGTGCATTGGCGGCACCAGCTGTCTTGGGTCACCAGGACTGAGGGACTGTGGGACCATCCTCCTGCCTGGCTGCCCTTGTTCCTGATCCGCAAAACCCATCTGAACCAGCCATAATCAAGATTGTAGTCAAAGCTGCTGCACGCGTATCATACATAAGCCTGCCCCACACTGGCAGCGCAGCGCACTGCCCGGAGCGTCTAGCACCTGCTTTTCGTTCACGTGGCGTCACTGCTTGCGGCACCACTCGTGTTGCTGACAAACAGCAGATCTAATATCAGAAGCTCAAGCTGTATTAAAGGTGCGCCCTTTGGCGTTTATACTGCCGCCACCATACGTTCAAAATTGAGTCAACGCTTGCCGTTGATTTTATGTCCTGCAGCGCGACAACGTCAGGTATGGTGACAGGTTCAAACGTGGGCGTGCAGGCTTCACAGGCCGGCGACCACGCAGGATATCGCTGAGCGCACCCAGGCACTGGTGCTGCTGATGGAGCTCTGCTGCAGCTGCTGCTGCTTGTGCAGGGACGGGCAGTGAGGCTGTCGTGGTGACAACGTCTGCACAATGCGACGCGGTCACAGATGTTATACAAATTAAAAGGCCTGATAGCAGACTGAATCTTTCGAAAAGGTCCGATCCCTGCGTGCCCTGCTCGACAACACAAACAAATTTGCACGCGCCGGCGTTCTTTCGCCTTGCTGTGAAACTGTTTTGAGCCGACCGTTATTGGTGATAGCCAGCCCAGTGGCGATCAGACTGGCATTTGGCCCTGGCGCGCAGTAGCGACGCTTCCTGCCGCACTGCTGTCTCGGGATCAGCACCGCTCCCGCAAAGCCAGCCTGGGATCCGCCTGGGCCCCATCGGCCGGGGCCATCATGGGCGAGTTATCGGCGCTGCATGCGCAGGCGACGCGTCTGATCCTTGCGCTGCGCGAGGGCATGGAACGGCTCGAGGCCATTGAGGTGGGCAGCTTCCGCACCGGTGCGCCCGGCGCGCCCGCCGCTGCGCCAGGGTTGCACGCCGCCGCGCCGGTCCATGACGCACAAGCGCTCGCACCGCAGCTGCCGCCGCGGGATCCGGCGCCGCGTCCATGACGCACATGCTCACGGCAGTGTGCGCCTTGGCTGTCGCCGGCGTGTCCACGCTGGCACGGTCGAGGCCGCTGCGGGTCTAGCGCGTGCCTTTCGACCCCTTCCGCCACCCCACCGCTCCGAGGATCATAGACCCGACGCGCCGTTGCCGCCGGCTCGCATGATTGCAGGGCGGCATACGGTCCGGCGACCCCGTCACCTTGGCGGGCGACTTGCAACACAAACTCTCAGAGCTGCAGGTGCGGCGCAGCTGCTTGGGGCGTTGTGGGCTGCTGCGGCAGAGAGGCCGCAGCAGGTGCCCTGAACTTTGCGCCATCTGGCGCTGGACACCATAGGTGTCCTAGGCTGCGACCCTACCGCTGTCCCCTCCTCAACTGCATTGTTGTGTGCAGCGCACCAGCCGGGAGCTGGAAAGCTCGTGGCGCATGCAGATGGTGCGGCAGGGCACGACACGAGTAGACATTTGGAAGCGGTGAGCGCCTGGCAACGACCGCAGGGCTGCCCTGAGCGCCGCAGGCGGGCGCCGGAGCTCGTCGGACGCGGCCGCAGCGCTTAACGCGCGCACCTGCGTGCTGCGCCGCGCGCCGTCACCGCTGCCTGATGAGCGGCATGCAGCGCCTCCGCAGGCAAGCGGCGGCCCTTCGCGCCTCATTGCACGCCCAGCCACGCCGCCACTCGCACAATGTCGCACGCAAGCATGCAGCACCACTACCAATACACTGTCCTGCCGCACCCCCCCGCCCTTCACACATGCAACTGCGCCCCAGCACCCACCCAACAATCCCCCCACTCACAGTCACCCATACCCACCCATTCACACAATCACACACACATACACACCACACACACCCCAACCCTCCCTGCGCAGCAAGGTGGAGTCTGTGTCGGAGGAGGCGGCCTTCATCGGCAGTAGCCTCGACCGCTTCGGCGGCCGCGAGGCGCGGCGGCGGCGCGAGCAGGCGGAGCGCGAGGAGCTGATGGCGGACGCGGAGCGGGGGCGGCGCTACCGGGACGCGGAAGACGAGGAGGCGGCGGTGCAGGGGCACGTGGTGCGGTCGCGGCGGATGCTCAACGACATGTTTGAGCAGGGGACGGGCATCCTTGCGGGCATGGCCGGCAGCAGGGAGCGCATCAAGGTGGGCTGAGGGGGGAGGGGTGCGGGGGAGGGGGGCGGGGGTTGTTCAACGGATGCTGTTTATCGGGCAGGCGTCAGGCAGGTGTAGGTCGGCGAGGGCAGTCGTGGCTGTGCATGTGAGCTTGGGGCTGAGGAATTGGAAGGCATGCAGCACTGGTGCCTGACGGTCGGCCGGGCCTCCAGCGAGGCTTTACGTCTTCACCACCCCCCTGGGGTGGAAACCCACCAGCCAACCAATCCGCTCGCCCCGCACCACACCGCGTCGTCCCGTCCCTCCCCGCAGGCTGCCCAGAAGAAGATGCTTGACGTCATCAACAGCGTCGGCCTGGGGGAGTCTGTGCTGCGCATGATAGAGCGGCGGCACAAGGGGGACACCTACATCGCGGTCGGCGGCATGGTGCGCCGGGCCTTCCGGGGAATGAAGGCGCGGGGACGGGGGGCCGGGGTGCAAAGGGGTACAGATGGGGAGCGCACGGCCTGGTAGGGGTTGCATGAGTGATGCACATGTGATTCATGGCCCGTGGCGTAGTCATGGGCAACGCCCTCGAGGCTGGCGCAGGGGCAGGGTCAGACTTGGGTTGCAAGGGGCGGGCCCGCGTCTTGCTCTAAGTGCATGCAGGTGTGCTGCTGCTCTGCTCAGGCGAAGGTGGATAGCTCGCTTAGCGGCTGGTGAGGGGGGTATGTGATGTGTGCCAAGGGGTCGGCTGACGCGGCTACCTTCCTCCCCTCCGTGCAGGTGGTGGTGTTGCTGTTCACAGTGGGGCTGCTGTGGTGGGCGTGGCACTGACGCCAGCAGCGGGGCCGCGTCTCGCCCCCTCTCGCTGCCCCTGCGCACATTGTGGTCCCGCCCGCCTCCTGCTGCCCGTGTGCGCGCACTGCGGCGGCGCAAAAACGAATGATTCACCAGCACGATGCATCTGGCCCGTCCCTGGCGTCCCTCACAGCGCGGCAGGCTCCTGTCAAGCCCAATTTACAATCTGAACACCACTGTAAATCATATGTGGGAAGGACGACACCATCACCAGGTACCAACGCCTCACAAAGCGGGGCGCTCGGCTCTGAATAGGAGCAGCGCGGCCCCCTCGCCGCCCTCACTCGCCACCGCCCACGCCCCCGCCGCCCGCCGTCGCCGCTCGCCCCTCCTCCTGCTGCTGCTGCTCCTGCTATTGCTGCTGCTGCTGCTGCTGCTGCTGCTGCTGCTGCTGCTGCTGCTGCTGCTGCTGCTGCTGCTGCTGCTGCTGCTGATGCTGCTGCTGCTGGCGGCCAGGGTCGTCCCAGCCGCGCACCCAGTCGCGGCCCGCCGCCGCCGCCGCCGCGCGGTGCAGGTTGTCGCTGAGCTGCGCGTCCACGTGGGATTTGAGGGCCTGGGGCGGTGGGTTGAGAAAGAGTGTGTGTGCGTATGTGTGTTTGTGTGTGTGTGTGCGTATGAAGAGGTTGAGGGGCGGGGCGTGTGGTGGAGTACATAAAAAGGGGGCGGGTTGCACAGCAGGAGCGAGATATCTACAGAGCAGGGGTGGAGGGGTGATTTCGAGGGGGCAAGGGGGCGGTGTGTGTGCCAAGATGGGTGGGGAGAACCTGAGTGGGTCACGTGAAGCGTTTGCAGGACCGGCGAAGCAGTGGATGCCATCAGAACGGGTGGAGTGGCGGCACCCACGTGCTCACGGCCTGAGGCAGGGGCCCGAGGCCCCCGCCCCAGGCAATGCAGGCGACCCAGCACACCGACCGCAGCCGTGCGCCAGACCCGCTGCGTCACATTTTGCGGCCGAACGGGGCCCCCAGGATCTGAGGGGGTGTGGGGTCCCCACCATGTACTGCTGGTTGGCGGCCAGGTGGGGGGGCGTGGGCAGCTGCCCCGTGAGCCACTTGAAGAGGTCGGGGTTCTCCTGGGGGCGGGGGTTGGGGGGGAGGGGCGGCTGCGGTTGGGACGACAGCGGGCGCTGCTGAGGGTTTACAAGTGTAGGGCCCGTTGAGCGCAGTGGTGAGGGGAGGCTGGGCGGAGCCGGGGAGTGACCCCCACCCTGCCGACAAATGCACACACCAGCGCCAAGAGGTCACCCACGCGGGCCCGCCCCCCCCCCCCCC